CTCTCTCTCTCTCTTTCCCTCTCTCTCTCTCCCTCTCTCCCATCTCTCTAGCTATCTCTCTTCTTCCATGTAAAGGGTTAACAAAATGCCCATTTTACAGACTCAAATATTGATAATCAGTTATTACAGCTATTAAGTCATTGACTATAGTTATATTTGCTCACTAATTAGGACATTATACCATCAGGTACAAACATTGCATACTCCTGTTAAAATTGATTCACGACCTTTAAACATGAGCTGAACTCGTGGTTATCGCATCATGTACATGCACATCTTTGCTCTGCTGCTCCAGAATAATTCCCATATTGTTTGCTTACCCCATTTTCCCTATCAAGATGAGAATATTGAACCAATGAATGACATTCATCGCCCCATATCATCAACGTGGGAAATCTTATAATATACGCCAAAGTTGAAACTATTGTTCTGATACAGGCAATAATTCTACAAATGTTACAAATACAACAATAACCTCTCATAGCATGTACTTTGAACATAATGGCCCGAATTCACAAAGGAGGTTTGTCGACAAACCTTGCTTTTCGTACGTCATATGACGCGATTTACGCGTTTTTTACAAACCTGGTTTGTAAAGAACAAAAGGAGGTTTGGCGAAACAAAAGGAGGTTTGAGCTCAAACCTTGGTCTGAGCTCAAACCTTGCTTTGTGAATTCGGGCAATTATCACACAACACCCTATTTCTAACACCAACAGAGTTACACATTTCAAGATCTTGATAAACCAAGTGTACACATATTGGTATCTGACAGTGACCCAAATTTGAAATGACAATTTTAAGATGTCTCCCATTTGACCGAAGTTTCACAAGATCACTAAAGATCAAATGCCCAGTATTAAAAAAAACGAAGGTCCACAAGACCGCAATTTCGGTCTCCAGACAACACAGTACTTAATGCTCTCGGTCTCGCGCTGTCTCTTGCACCTACCTAAATTTCATGAGACCGAGAGTGGACTATATTACTATCATTATCCACAAATGATATTTTTGTTTTAAATGATATGATATTGATCCATGATACTACCCGCCCTCACCAACCTGTCAAAAGAACATAATGTTGATTTAGTTTAATTCTAATTTGTATTTATCTATCTCAATGTAAGCACTGACGCAATTCAACTCCAATACTGACATGGAATGCAATAATATGTAAGGTCCTTGATGTCCTGTAAAAGAAAGTTGCTATATAATTTAGAAAGTGATTGTTGGTCCGGAAAACTTCACGGTCCTGTCACTGTTTGAGTGGTCATGTTTGTCTGATGTCAAATAATTCAATAATTAATCAAGCCGAGAATCCCAACGTAAATACTCATCTTAGACCTCTCATCGATTGACTTTATAATTTGGATTAACGATTCACTTATTTAATGTTAGAAATTGTGAGTATGGAATAGTTAAGTTGCTAGTGAAGAAAATAGTATCCTCTCATGTTAACATTGCAAAAGATAAACATTCATTTGTCATTAATCGTTTACAAATAAATTTAGATTATTAGCTAGTGTTTATGATAACCCTTTTATCGTTTATACTTTTTGCTTACGACACCAACATTTTGTATTCTCTGGTATGCCCTTATTCGTATATACTTAATTTAGAATAACCCAAAGTTTCTAACTGGTAAAAAAGTAAAAAATTATTTCTTTAAATTACTAAAACGAGCTCAATGCACTTTTAATATACAAATGCACATACCCCTGACTTTTCTTAGAATATCGTAATCGATAATGCATTCTTAGAACGTAAGAAATGTACACAACTTTCGGGTATTCTTATTGATGAAATCCTTAGTGGAATGAACACATACAACAAACAATTACATGTATTTCTAAGAATATTGGTTTACTTTAAGACCAAAGAATTATTCCTAAGAAGATCCTTTTAATGTTATATTGCATCGCTTATCTTGCCATACATTTCATATATAATTGTAACTTGGTATAGGCTTGAAGTGCAAAGACAACATTTAACCCTATTTATTTATTGCCAATAAAAAGCGCTTCGAATGATTATGTGCTGGCTCCAAGTACTTAGCCCATACACACCCATTATTTATGACCGTACAAATTGACTATCCCTGATTTAAACACACAACAGACTCTGATCTTTATGTTTAAATTCATGAATAACCTACTTCCTGGTTCATTCAAGAGTTTATTTGTATGAGATAACACTATCCACTCTTGCCCTACTTGGAATTTATTACACTTTCATTTGATTATTCTTAAATTATTGCTCCTGCATAAATCGACCAGACATCATAATCCGGATCTACTAAATGCACTCTCAGGCTCAATAACTTCATTTAAAACCTTCCCGAATTTATTTAAATTCAATAGGGAGGAGGCAATCCTGTCAGAGTGCATCATTTGATCTGTTCCCAGTGCTGATTAAATAGTCAATATTATTTCCAGATTTCTATCAACATCAATCACTTTATTTTATTAACTCCTGTATACAAAGATTTCTGTGCCAGAAATTATGACATCAACATATTTTCATTTTCATTCTCATCATTATTATCATCAATATCATCACCATCATCATCACCACCATCATAATTGTTTTAAATTCGTGTCATCATACACCCGCCCGGGCTATCACGCTATCAAGCAAATGCTCATTGCGGTACCCCTTCGTCTTAATGTATTAATTTATACTTCTGGATAGTGTGTTATCAGTTAAATCTTGTTTTAATGTCAACATTTCTATTAAATTACATTGTGTATAAGTTTAAAAAAATGTTATATTTTGTATTTGTTGTATCGTTGAAATTTAATTTGATTTGAGTGTGCTTTGCAGAAGAAAATACATTCAATTCAATTTAAAGACCGTCAATACTACTGGGCCAGAAGGGATTGGACCACACAGCGAGGTCACTGGCAGGTGGCTATCTCATTAACTCAGCTCTCAACTAACATACGTAAAAGAGGATCATGGGGGATCAACAGGCACCGATTGGGGAAGTTTTCTATATAGAGGGAGCAAGTAGCTACAAGTAGGACAGTGGGGCTTTAATTCAAAATTGTTTGCGATCGGGGTTTTACATCATGATGTAAACGCGGCTCGTAGTGACCTGATAGTCATGGACAGGCGCCCAAGGCGATCGAGTACGCAGACGCGCCATAGATTCGAATGTAATTATTCTCGCACCGTGATATCTTTATCACACAATCCAATGCACCACGCATCTACGCATCTACTACTGCGACATGTAGTTCCCATGGTAGCGAGGTAGCGAATAAGTCGTTCGCGAAAGCACCTACATGTATATTTATTTATTTATTTATTTCTGATACTTTATACAGGGCGGCACATATCACGGCACTTCCACGAGGCCCTGTTTGGTAAGAATAAAACAAATAACACCAGGAAAAAAAAATAGATAAATACACAAGTATTTAAACAGGTAAAATACAAATTAATTGGTATCCTCATGAAATAACCGATTATTCAAGAATTATGCTTGATCATTTACAAGAAATATGTGAATGGAATTTTCAATTTGAATAGAAAATACATTTAACAAAAAATTGAAAAAAAATAAAGAATAGATGAAAGCCTCATATTTAAAAAAATAAAATAAAAAAAATGATTGAAAGCGTACATTTGTTATAATCTGATATAGCACAATGGATACCAACATTGTTATATACATATTTACATTCGATTGCTCTTTAATCAATACACTTATTGTTTAAAAGATATCTGAAAATGGATACATTACATGCATTTATACATGATATAAAGTTAACCAAATTTAATAATTTTGCAAATAGGAAAAATTGGATAGCTTCGCACGAACCCCCACCCCCCCCCCCAAAAAAAAAGCGTTTGTAAAACATCCGTTCTTTAGCCAAATGGAGAAACCATTCTCCTAGCTTTTCTGAGTAACCCGTAGGTAAACTGCCCGTTGTATCCGAGCTGAGCTGAGCGGAATGTCTGTGTAATGAACTTGTTAAGATTTATAGCCTGCTTCCTTGAACGTTAATATCATTGTGTCTGGCACTTGTTTACGATTAAGATTTAAAAGACAAACACACACGTACCTTCTTGTATTGAATGAGTGAATCGAGGTTTGAGTTTAACCGTAAAGACTCCAGAGAAGGAAACGAATTCTCTCAAATGTTTACATTAAATATATACTTGCTTTGCATTTCACCCATATTATTATATCGCGCCTCCATTATCCCTCTTGCATACAGCGAATATAGAAGCAACGTTTACGAGAGGAAGAAGATGAATATTGCGGTTATAGCGATGGAGGTTGCTATAGCAAGATGATAATTGCCTGCCATAGTCAATCTCCCCCTCTCTCTCTCCCCCTCTCCTTTCATTCCTGTGGACCAGCCTTCTCCCTTCTTTAACCTATGCTTATAAATGTCAAATTTATCATTATTATTGTTATCATCATTATTATTGCTATAACTACTACGGCGACTTCTACTACTACTTTTACTATTTACTAGTATACTACATTCATCACTATGATTATTATCATTAATATAATTAGTAGTAGTACTATTATAATTGATATATTGTCATTACTATCATCATTACCATCTTTATTACATACAATTATTACTATTATTATCATTGTTGTTGGTATCATTATTAGTTTTATGAGTATAATTATCATTAACATTATTTGTATCATTATTATTATTATCAATGTTGTTGTTGATATCATTATTAAGCTATCCATCATCATTGTCATAGCTCAGTCGGTATAGAGCGGTTGTCTCGTAATCCGGGGATCCGGGTTCGAAACCAAGTCGATGCGCTAGTGCCCTTTGGTAAGGCTTTAATCCTCATTACCAGGTCCCTCGGAGAGGACCTAAAGCCGTCGGCCGTCTGGTTGCTTACTAACAAGCAATAATGCTTCCTTAGCAGTCAGGTAACATAACCACCACCACCACCATATCATCGTTATTATTATTGAAACTGCCCTGAGTGAGTTGATGATTTCGAAAGTAGTTGATTTGGGATCGTGGTTTAAGATCATGAGTGAACACGGCCGGCTGCGAGTGACCTGAGGCTGACAGTGGATAGTGGACTAGGAGGCGATCGACTGCGCAGACGAGACCTTGCTTGGTTTTGATATATTCTCGCACCGTGAAATGTTTATCGCACAACCCCCATACACTAGGCATCTAACCACAGCTATGCAGTCAAAATGGACGTAGGATGCATAGCGATGAAGTCGTTCTCGAAAGCATCTATATTGATTGAATGCATTTACAAATACACTCGTCCATGATGAAGCTATACCTGCCATCGATGAGCAATTCGTAAGTAGACCTTCCATTTTTATCTGAACTGATTGGGATATCTGTGTAACTGGATGAGATGTAACCCGTTTTATTTGCACGTTTTTTTATCACTGTGTCTCGCACTTGTTTACGATTCAGATTTAAAAGAAAATTCACAGTCTTCTTGTATTGAATGAAGCGAGCTTTTGCGTTTAAATGTTAGACTTTGAAGAAGGAGCTGAATTCTTTCAATATTTTACGTTTATTATAATCTTGCTTTGCATTTCGTGCATATCCTATCATAACGCATTTATTTTCCTCTTGCATTAAACGAATAGTAGAATCTGCGTTTATGAGAGGAAGAAGGCGAATGGCACCAGCTCTCAGGTTGTTGTCTTTATAGTTTTTCTACAAACCATTTGACCCAATACCCATTTGGTCCAATATAATTTGGTCCACCACCCATGTGGTCTGATATTCATTTCGTCTTCCAATATCAATATCATTGGGTGTAATGACCATTTGGTACAATCTCTATTTGGTCTATGGCTGATTTAATGACCACTTGGCATAATTTCCAGTTGGTCTTATGCCCATTATTTGTATATTAACCATTTGGTATAATGCTGGTCCGATTTCCTCTAAAATTTACGTTTCAATCGAGCTTACTATCATATAGGCCTACATGTATTTGTACATGAATTATTGACCTAATATATTATGCATGTAGGCATTGTTTGTAGAGGTGTCGTGGTCGAGTGGATATGTCACCGGACTGTGGATCACAAGGTCCGCGGTTCCAGTTCCGCCGCGACACTAATGTCCTTCTTGAAATGCACTATGCGCTGATTACGGACTGTTGAACTAAAGCTAGGGTAATAATTGAATTATCTACACTGTGACAAATTTGGGCAATATTATTTCAACACTTTGCCCAACGTTGTACCAATTGTCAACCCAACCATCTAATAATAATAATAATAATAATTATACATGAGATTTATATAGCGCCATTATCCATTTTAATTAAATGCTCAAGGCGCTTCAAAATATTAGGGAACACATTACATCATGACAAAGAATCGTGTACATTTACATAAGAAAGAAAATGCAAAAATGAAAGAATGAATGTCTGTCTTCAAAACGCAAAATTAAACAAATGGGATGTAAGGTTGCTCTTAAAAGATGTTGAAGAGTCAGAGTTCTTCAGCTCCTGTGGAAGTGAATTCCACAGGGCTGGTCCGGCATGAGCAAAAGCTCGTTCCCCCCAAGATTTCTTTGAAAGCGGTATGTGTAGAAGACCAGAGTTGGAAGATCGGAGGGTACGTGTGGGTTGGTAGAGGTGAACTAAAGACTGGTTGTATTCACGAGCTGTTCTGTTCATGATTTGATGAACTTAAAGAAGGATTTTGAAAATTATACGTTCTTTTACAGGCAACCAATGGAGATTTTGTAAGATAGGTGTAATGTGACTATGTTTGCTTGACAGAGAAATGATGCGTGCAGCTGCGTTTTGTAGTTTTTGTAACTGTGCAATTTGTGAATTTGGTAAATTATAGAGTAAACTGTTGCCGAAATCCAAAACGTGAAGAAATCAATGGGATTTGGGTTCATCATCAATGCCTGCGTATGCAGTGATACTCCATGCAGTGACAGCATTGTGTGTTCCTTGCATTTCGGCTCGATCGAGTGCTGTCTATATGGGGGTGTTTCACAAAACTTGTCATCAGTGACAAATGACATTTTTGTTATAAGCTAATTGGTAAGATAAGATAAGATAAGATAAGATTTTATTTGACTCTATCGACCCCCTTCAGGGGTATGAGAGCACAACATATTTACAACACAATACAGAAAGATATATAAACCAAAGTAAGATATGATAACAAAATACATAGACATGATATATGCATTTTTATATTTCTAAACACAATAAACATTAGCTAAATACTAAGTACCGGTATACACTAAATACAGTTTAAAGTTATAAGTCTAAAATATCACGTGGTTTGGTTTGTCTACCACATGCTTTCCGGGTTTTCGCCTCCTTCCGTATCTGAATTACTTACTGTATACTCTATGTTGAAATAATTCTTACATAATATATCATGTATATACACTGTAAAAAAGAATTTGTTCATTGGTAATTTTTACGTATTTTTTCCTTGTAAAATTTACTTGAAAACATTAGTTTTGCCTCGTACGCACTAACTCAAACTTTCAATACGTGGAATATTTAAGTAAAATCAAATACATAAGAACTTTAAGTAATTTCAGCTTGTATTAATTTAGTAATTTTAACTCAAAATCAGAAATTATACGTATTACTCAAACAATTTATGTTGATTATTCTTATCTTTTGAAAGTAAGGACCGATGCAGTGCGTAATAGAAATATTTACATAATTTATGAATATTCATTAAGACCAAATTAAACTCTTTTTTAAATAAAACAATTCTTTTTTGTGGTTGAATGGAAATTTAAGGACTGTAAAACATTTACTAATTCATTTAACATGGCTAAGCAAAGACAAGACAATTTTTAATTGTTACCCAGTTCAAAACAAATAAAAACTTGATATTTCAGGAAATTGTCAACCAATTTTCCTTTTAAGATGCTACGATCAAGTATATATAAAATTTGGAGCCTTTCAATATGTGTCGAATTGAAGCGTATGTAATAGTTTGTGATGGTGGTAGATATATATGTATACGGTTAAATCTTAAATAGAAGTAGTGTTAGTGATTAGTGATTAATCTTAAATAGAAGTAGTGAATGATTAGTGGATGTTACTTGTTAGATTACATGGGTACCAAATCGTGCACTATGTAATCCTATCATAGCTTTTTTTTTAATTATCTAAAATGATTACAATACTTAAATTATTTACGTTAATGTAACTCGGTTTAACTGAGTAAAAATTTATTCAGCAAAATAAGTAAATTCTACTTAAGATGCCGTAGGTAATATTTACTTAATAAAAATAAGGCAATTCTTTTCCTCAATTTTATTGAGTTATTTCGACTATTATTTTTTTCACAGTGTATACATGGTGTTTCATATTGTACTGTTGAGAAGGAAATAAATGTTAATAAATACAAATACAATACAACTACACTTTAATTTATTAACAAAAATAGGACCATGTCTTTCAGCCTTAGGAACCATCGAAAAGAATTGTTTTATTACTGTTATGAATTTTACGAGTTTTCTTAATTGTTTATCGCTAGATCTATTAAACAATTTGTCCATGTGAAATGTGCTAGGGTTACTCACAACAAACTGTCGATCTAAGTATAACTGTCTTTCTTTCTTGAAAAAAGGGCAGACAAAAATATAGTGAAATTTCATCTCCAAAAACCTTTAAATTAAAACAAGCCAGAACAAGGACATTCAATTTTACTTTTTTCAGGATTATTTTCAAACCTTCCTTTATTAGTAAGCGGTGTGACCTGCATCGGAATCGGCACAAAGTGATTGCACCTCTTCTATTGAACTTCACCAGATTCTTTTCAAATAAAATTTCGCTCTTAATAATTCGGTAGTTAACACAATTGCGATTTCACCAAACATTTGACATCATTTCTTGCTTTGACATGTTCATCAACCCGAGCTTAATGCTATGGTCACATTACCCAAAAGTAGCCTGCTCGGCGGCCGAGCGGCGAGTTTTTAACCAATTCTGCCCGGCGGCTGCCCGGCCACCGAGCGGCGGCGGCCGCCCAGGCACCGCTCGTTTTTAGGGCATCGCTCGGTCGCCGCTGAAGTTTTAGCGCGGAGTCAAAATTTGGGCGGCGCCTGCTCACTTTTCACTCGCCGCCAAAGATATGCTCGGTGCCTGGGCGGTCGCCGCCCGGGCGCCGACCTAATCGCTGGACGATGCCTAATTCCAGCAGCGACCGAGCAGGCTACTGATCGGTCGGTCGCTGCTCTGCTTAAGAGCATGAATAATCAATGAATACTGAATCCATCCCCTTGCCTTTGCCACACATTTCCTAGCCCAGCATTATTTAATGTATTCTCTACACATGACAACCATAATTGAGACTATTAGTTATTAGCAGATTTGTCACTGAGTTTTGTACTTTGTCATTGAATAGCATAGCAAATAAAGAGAATAGATTCTCCTGAGTCATACATTAAACAAAGTTATAAAAAAAAATTTGTGTTGGAAACTTGGAAGTTGGAACAATGGGGAAGTTGTCTGCCACTACATCACGGAGACAATACCGATTTAGCCAATTTGAAGAGCTCGTATCTATAATGATTGCAACTATAAAAAGTCACAACTTTATCATTTTTTGCCCGGTTTCATTCAAACTTTCACCAGTATACATCTCTGTGTTTTCTGTTTTTTCCACTAGCGTATAGTTGTAAATCAAAGTTGGATTTCCCTTTAACCTGTAAGAATTACATATTCAATACCACTTACTTTTTTCTATTCCTAAAAATAGAAAAGGGAAAAACAGAATATCCATTTTTATTTCCTCATTTTTCTCGTAATTATAGACTATACATGAATCGCAAAGGCATATGCGCAGGTAGGCCTTGCATGTATTTAGTGCACTACGTATAGAAAGTGAAGTAGAATATAATTACCCAAGAAGCCGGCTGTCAAAATAAGGACACGATAGGATAATTCGTTTTTCTATTTCTAAAAATGGACAATGAAAAAACAGAATATCCGTTTCTAACTTGCTATCTCAGCAATTACGGATATCCGTAGATATACACACTGAATCAAGGTTTATTAGAAAAACATGTGTCGCAGCCCAATGGCTGAATTGATCATGTGTACAAATAAAACACCCATTGCATATTTCAAACATAACATACAGTTACAAAACAGTGCATGTACGAAGAAGAGGTACTTTTATTTCATTATTTTTCTTCAAAATATGTATAACTTTAATACGACAATGCTCGAATGATGTTTACAACGATGCAATACCTGTTATGAACATATATATCATGCAATTTTACTATGAACAAATCTAAAAATGTTTATATTTAAGAAACCGTTTAGTATTTAAATACTC